CCCCCCCCCCCCCCCCACCGCAGAAGGACGTTTTGAAGGTGGCCTACTACTGGATGGGTAAGGAGTTTTCCATTTTTTACGTTCCTTGGTGCTTCACACACTTGACGCTGTTCCCCCATGCACCTCGTCCCCACCATATCCCACCGCAGAATTCATCATTTCGAAGCTCTTCATTGAAGGAAAAATCGAGCAGTGGAGAGTTATAATTGATTTGTCTTCCTGTGGTGTGTTGACCATCCCCATCGGCACCTTAAAGGACATTTCCAAGTGCCTCAGCGTAAGGGACGGAGGAGGGCGCGAAAGAGAAGAGACAAACGAAAGAGAAGAGGAGAATGCGGAACTAACGTAACCATGCGGCACATAAGCCAAACCAAACAAACGTCACACGCAAAGGTTTTAATTTCTCACCACCATCACAACCCCCCCCCGCCCCCCCCCCTCAGTGTAATTATAGATCGAGGCTCTCCAAAATGCTAATCCTGAGCGCCCCTCTTTTTGTAACTGGCATGTGGCACATGATGAAGTCAATCATACCGGTTAGTTGCTTTGAGGAGTGGACACCCTTCTGGTGGTAGAAGTGATGGATGTCATTACAATCGTTGTGCTCTGTCTCGCCCCCACGTGTTTCTCCCCCTTTTTTTCAGGTCGTAACGCAGCAGAAAATAACCATATCTTCAGCGGAGACAGATGTAAGGGAAAGTCTTGTCATGCACTTTTTTTTTTTTTTTTATCATCACCGTGATTACGGGCTTCCTTGCCATCCTCTTCATCGTGTTCTCCCATCTCATCATGTTCTTCCTGTCTCCCGTCTTGTAGAAAAATCTGCTGGAACAAGTGGACCTAGACCAATTAGAGCGTAAGTTGGCGGAGGCGCATTTTGAAAATGGGGTGAATTTTTTTTTTGTGTGTGACGCGTCGCGAGGGGGTGTGCACGATTTGAACGGTTTGAATGGGTTAATGTGTGTGTCGGGGGTTATCCCCCCCCCTAAGGTTGCACCGCCTCTCCTCTTCATCACGTCCACTTCCACATACTTCATTTGCTACTTCCTTTCCCCCCCCCCCCCCCCCCACCCCATTTATTTGCAGAAAAATATGGAGGAACCGCCGAAAACGCAACGATCTTCACAAAACCAATCATGCCATGAGGGGCCACTTTATTACCCCCTCTCTCTCTCTCTCCTTTTTCTTCCTTTAAGTAATTTAAATTTTAAGAACGCAGTTTTTTTTTTTTTTTTTTTTTAAATATTTTAAAAAAGTGCCTTTCACAAATTGTTCGGCATATTTTGGTCGTTCCGTTCACGACAGCGTGTGTAAATTTTGCCTGCCAAATCGACCTCTTTCTCCTCTTTTTCTTCATTTTTCCTGTTCATTTGTCCTCCTCTACTCCCTACACGTGTTTAATAGAAGTGCAAAAAAAGAATATGCGTCTTCCGTAGCTTCACATTGTTGACCTACTTTTTCCTTAACGTGTTGCGTCTTTTTCCCCTGTTTGCTTCTTTTTTTTTTTTTTTAAGTTCTCTCGTCCATAGCAGACTCGATTAATTTTAAAATTTTTTTTCACAAAACGGGTGTCATGAGTAGCTGCTTGGCGCTTCTTATACGGTTACATACCCGGCGATGCTTATGGGTATCCCTGCAACACGTGCGCACGCTGTCACAAATCCTGGTCGAAAAACATGCCGTACAGGGCACGCTTGCAAAGGATAAATGAAAGGCAAAAGAAAAGGTAAGAAAAGAGGAAGCAAAGGTGAAGCACACAGTAGAAGAGCTTCTTTTTTCTCCTTAACAGTTGGAGAAACTGTTGCTGTTTTTTTAAAAAAAAATTTATAGGATAGGACAGTAGTCTGTCTTTTCTATATGCCTTGAAGTCTTTAAAATTGATTAAACAGTCTGCAATGTTGGGTGAGGGTGAAATGATTTTTTTTTTTTTTTTTTTTTTTTCATTTTTTGCCCATACAACGTTGCTGTGGATCCTTCACTGGGCTGTACTTCCCTCGTGGTGCATTTATACATTTATACATTTATACATTTATACATTTATACATTTATGCGTAAAAGGCTTATGATGGGGAGAGGATTTCTACGGAGTGATGAGTGATAGGTTTGCATGGAGAGGAGCGCTTTTGTTTGGGTGAACTTATTACCAGTGAAGCGCTTCAGCGCGGGCACGTGTTCCTTTAGGGATTCCGCTGCGCCATCCTCGCTCGCCGCTTCGGCGTCCTCTTCGTCTAAACGGGGGGTGCAATGGACGTTTTAGTTGTTGCTCTACGCGCGTTTCTTTACACCTTATTTTTTGCTTTATTATTATTTTTTTTTTTCGCTTGTCCGCACCTTGGCTGGTAAGCGCACCCTGGTCCTTCAAGTTCACCACATCAAAGCCCGGCGGGGCGTCTGAGTCCACCGCAAAATCGCGCGCAGCTTCAGACGCTGCCATCCCTTCTAAGAGATGGTCTAATATTTCAACCTTGTGTAAGTCCACACTCTGTGCGTAGCTGACGCCCCGGGGCACCCCATCCACAAGGAACGCACATTTGTCCTGTTCTTCCCCCTCTTCCCTCTTCTGTCCACTCGACTTGTAATGGTTTTTCATGGAGATGCACTCATCAATGATGTCAAGGGTAGCGATTTTTTTTTTTTCTAACTTGGTGTTTATTACGTTGTTTAGTAGTAGCTGTAATTGTTTGCTCCTTTTCCTGTCCTCACCATCGTCCTCGCCATCCATTTCAACGTTGCGGTTTGAAGCGTTGAACGTCCTCACCATGCTGCTGTCGTCGCTCGACACGGTGGCTCCGTCTGATCGGTCCCCCAACTGATCGCTGAACTGATCGCTGAACTGATCGCTGAACTGATCGCTGAACTCATCGCCCGTTTGTCCCCCCGAGTCAATATCCAAGTGAATGGCTTTATTTATATCATGTAGGTTTTTTTTTATTTTACTAAAACTTACATTTATGATGTGAACGCTTTTCCCGATGGAGGACGCACACGTGGACTCATCTTCGCAGCTGTCCGAGTGGTAGACTCCTTCATAATCAACACTGTTCGTGCTAGCATCCTCCTTACACTTATCATTACCTTCCTTTTTTCCTTCATCACACATGGTGTGATAAGCACCCTGCACTGTGCACAGGGTAGTACATGCTCCTTTTTTTATCATCTCTCCTGACAAATTGGAGGCAGGCTCTTCATCACTGCTAACATATTTTTCAGACACGAATTTTCCATTTGGTCCGTGCTCCTCCCTCACCATGATTTCCTCGCGCAAATCTGCATCCATTGCACCTTTTTTATATTTTCTCTTCGTTTAAGCGAGCCAAGCGTGGAACAACAACAATGTCACATGTACCGGGTCCATCCTTTCTGCCGCTTTTTTTTTTTTTGGTACTCACAAATGAGGGAACAATAAATAGCTTAAAAGTAGCTAGCCAAAAAGTGGAGAAAAAAAAAAAAAAAGAGAACAAAAAAAAATATGCACGGTGAAGAGGCAAATATCGTAATGGTAAATCTAGCAGGCATTACTTTTGCTTCTTTTTTTGCTTCAATTCTTTGCTCCAATTTTTTCCACCCATGTGTGTAAGCTTATAAGTTTGCAGTTGCACAATTGGGTAAATAAAAAGAAAAAAAAAACACATATGCTCGTGCGCACATGTACGTGCATAAAGTGGGACAGGTACACGACGGTATGCCCATAAATGGAGAAAGACACACCCGCGCAGGAGCACACACAAAGGAGAAGCAGAAGCAACTTTTGTGCGCGCTTCAAACTGCGAATCTGTAGAGCGTCCTGAGGCAGTGGCACTACTGCGTGAGGGGACTCGCTCCAAATAATTCTAATGATATGTTAAACAAAGAGGGGGGGCGTCAAAAATCATATGCACGTTAGCTGGTGGAGACTCTCCACTTATTATTCATCCGCTGATCATCATATGTGAACGGAGGGGACGCTTACACGGCGGAGGAAAAAAAAAAAAAAAATTTGTCCAATTGGAGAAAATGCAAATGTGCCAAAGGGGCAACATGACACAGTAAAGGAAATGCGGGTGACGAAAAAAAAGGCTCCGATGCCGCTTCGCCTCTTCGGCGAGTACGCCACGAATGGCTGCTAGTACCCGCTGAAACGCTATAGCAGCTACTCATTCTTGCTCGCGTCCATGATGGCCACGATTCGGTTGTACGAGTTGTCCAGGAAGGTCAGGATGGGGGAGGAGGCATACTTAGGCATCTGCTCATACATGCTCTTCAAATTCTGGTAGGTCAATTCAAAGGAGTACTTCTCCATGAGAGGTATACCATCACACAGGTTCCTCTCCACGTCTTCATTCACGAATGATCCTTTTCTCTTTTGTTTGTAATCGCTCAAATTTGCAAGACTATTGCTGCAGGGGATTACATTTTTCTCCTCTCTACTGCTGTCCCCATATTTTAAAGGATCCAACTCATCGCTCTGATTGGAGGAAGATTTGTTTTTTCCATCACAAGAATTAATGAGCCCTTCATCATTCACACCACTACCCTCGTGACTCACTCCACTCTCTTCATGATTCATCACTCCTCCATCTTCGCATACCACTATATTTCTCCCTTGGTGATTATTTTCCTGCTGGTCCTGCAAACTGCTCACTTGGGCCTTTTGCTGCAAAATGACACTTGGGTGGTGCTGAAAAACTTCCTCCTCCTCTTCCAAATTCTTATTATTTTTTAAATCGAGGATGTTCTCACGGAGGTAAATGTTTTCGTAGAAGTACTTCCTTTCGTGTTCCTTTCTCTTGTTCTTTAAACTCATGGGAGCCAAGTCAGATGAGTCCATTTGAGCTAGGTCTGTGGCATGTATTATGCCATTCAGAATTTTTTTTCTTAATTCAGAGTTGTCCTTACGCATGAGGTTAGAACAGATGGAAAATAATTTCATCTTTACTTCCATTCTGTCGTTGAACTTTTGTATAACTCCTTTTACAATTCTTTCACTCAGTTCCTTTGTGTCAATAGTTGTGTTTTCTTTGTCCAGGGTATGCTTTATTTTTTCTATGACTTTTTTGTACTTACTTATGCTTCTGTTCGCTGCATTGTCTTCGTTCCACGCGTGGTTGACGTCGTCCACGTGTATCTTGTACTCTTCTTCCTTCTTCCTTTCTGCGCCCACACAGTTTGCAGCACCTGGGACGCTCCCTGCCCTATGCACACCCCCTGTTGCAGTGGTTCCTCCTTTCTCCCTTGTGGCGTTTTTCTTCCCCTTAACACTACTCTCCTTCTTGGCTGGCTTCACTTTCTTGGCCCTCTTCTTCCTTCTCTTTCGCCCGCAAGCCAACTCCTCGTTACCAAAATCAGAGTCCCCGCTGTACACCTCTTCAATAAGAATTTGATTTTCCTCCACAATATCTTCATCCGTGTGTCCATCCAGGTAATCTTCAAAGGTATTATCCTCTTCTTCTCTTTCATTTGACACACACCCCTCATCGAACAGCTCATCCTCGTCTTCCTTTTTTTTCTTTCTCTTTCTGTCGCTGCGTCTTTTGGTGCTTCGGGTTTCTTCTTCCTTGAAGGTCTCCTGCCCCGGCGCACAGGGCTCTCCCTTCACTGCTTCTTCCTTTTGGGGGTTATCATGGAGAGGTTCCTGCTGCCCATCCAAACATGCTGCGTCGTCGCGTTGGCCCTGCGAAGGGGACATCTCGCCTTTCACACGGCTTCCTTCCATTTTACCTGCTCCTCCGCCGAGTTGCCAGTTCTCCTCGCTACCAATGGCCGCGCATGAACTCTTGTGCCCCTCTTGAGTCCCGCGTTCGGCCACTTCGCTGTGACAGTCCCGCGTGGGTGGTGCGTGGGGCTCGGGGGTCACCAGTGCCTGCGCCCCAACTGCGCAGCTTTCACTAACAATGGTAGTGCTGCTGCCGACGGTATTGTAACTACCTGCGTCATTGCAACTGCCGGTGGTGTTGCTCATTTCATGCTTTCCCCCATGCGGCGTGTCGAGCAGTGACCCGCTTTTGTTGCTCTTCCGTTTCCCGTTTGCACACACAAGGTTTTTTTTTTTTTTCTTGCTCCCCTTGCGTGCAGGTAAATTTTTACCCTTATCAACAATTGGTATTTTTTTTTTCTGAACATTTACCAGCGCCTTTTCCATGGGCACATTATACAAGGAAAAAAACGCAAGCTCCACATTAAACATATTTTTCATGTACTCATTATATATTAAAAAATTATGATTATGCGAATTCACAAGATCACAAAAGTAAGAAAAAAAGGAGACATGTTCCATTACATAGTACACATTATTCAGAATGCAATTCGGGCAAATAAAATAAATATCTGTTTGCTTTACTTTTTGTCTTTTGATCCTCACGTCATATGTTTTTTTATAATTTTGCAGGAAGGGATACATTTTCTTCAAATCCCAAGGTGGGTCGGAATTCTTCAAACCATTCGTATGGCTATATAGAAGGTGACACAAGATTATATTTATATCGTAATAGGTATCGCAGTTAAAACAGAAAAAGTACAGGTACTCAAAATTTTTATTTGTGCACACGTAATTATTGTTTGGGTCACAAAACACATTGTAGGTGTCTCTCATTGGTGTGCTGTGCATGTTTGAACTTGAGTAAGAATTCACATTTTCTCCACTGCTCCTGTTTATGCTTATGCAATTATTGGCTAACTGAGGGACCATCTGCGCGTTCTTGCACAAGAAGCGGTCGTAGTAAAATAGTCTGAAGCTGCAGCCGTCGCTACCGCTACTCCTGCTGTTGCCGCTACTTCTGCTGCTGCCGCTGTTTCTTCTACCCTGGTCGCTCCGGTTCTTGTTGTCTCGCTCCACTGCGTTGAACACGATTTCGCCGTCGTACTCGCAGGGACCGCTGTCATTTCCTTCCCCCTCCGCGAGGCTGCCTCTTGCCCCGAGCTGGGCCTCGCTCAACCTCTTATTATGCTGACAGCATAAGGGAAACTCCTCAAACAGGTAAATGAACTCGTAAAAATTATAAACCTGGATCCTGTGAAGCACCTCCTGTTCGCTAATGTCGTTGAGGTACCCCAAGTAGGGAACCACAGTCCACCTGTTCACATAGCAATCAACATCGTTGTATAAAAATTTCTTGCAGTCACTACTGCTATATATTAATTGGCCTATTATGCTGACGCTGCTCTTCTTTTTTACAAACTTATAAATCTGAGACATGACGATTTTGTTATTATGTCCTTGGATGCTAACCGTGTCATATTTCTTTAGCTTTCCAATTCGACTTTTAATTTTTTTTTTTTTTTTTTTCACTTTTTCTAAATTTTCATTGTACTTTTTAATTACATCGAGTATTTTCAAATTGCTCATGTAGGTTCCTTTTTTTCCGCTCTTGTCTGTTCTGTTCGGTGAGAATGCAGAGAGGGAGGACGATGAGGAGGAAGAGGCGGACGACGAGGAACTGGACGAACAGAATGAGTTGGAACTGGTTGAGGAGATCGACTCGGAGGAGTGACACGAGTTTGTGAACGACACCGATGTGTTGCAAGTTTCCCCCGGGTTATGGTGCCTGTTCGTTTGGTTATTCCCCCCCCTTGGTCTTTCCCCACCTGGAGGGTCACCATCATCATTATAGCGGCCGCTAACACCATCTCGATCACCTTCCCACTCATCCCCCACATCGGTCTGCACATCAGCCTCACTGTCGTCATGGGCCCCTCCGACCTTCGTAACCGTGCTGCATTCATTCCACGCTGGTCCCACCTTCCGCGAGCCCCTCTTCCCCCCTGACACTCCCATCATTTCTTTCTCTTCTTGTTTACTGCGCGCCACAACCCGGCCGAAGTTGAATTTGCGCATCCGCGAATTTTCCCTCTCATCATGTTGCTTCAGCTGCTCAAGAATTTCATAATTTTCAACATCATTGGAGGAAAAAAAGGATTTCAATTGTAGCATGTTTGAAATGTATGGTCTCTCCTCCGATGTGTAGCAAAAGGAATTCTTGTTCAAGTAGTAGTACAGCTGGCTTATGTCACTTAGCTTCATATGGTTATTCACTTTTCTTATATCTAGCTGTGTTATGTCAAGGTCGAAAATATTCCTGGAGTTGACATCTATAAATTGTATGGGTTCCACCACGTCTCCGTCTTCTTCCTTCCCAGCACTCTCCCCATTTATGATTTTGCCTTCCCCTTTTTGCCCCATCGTCTCTCCTTTCGTCGGCAACACACCAATGCGTTATACTCCTTTATAACATTAAAGCGACATCACACAGACTTGTCTGCGCCTCATGTTGGGGGCCGGCAGTACGGTGCAGCTTTCGAATGGTGTGCTGACTAATACACGTTCCTCCAAACACATTCTCTATTTTTGTACATGCGATAAAGGCATGTATAATATTATGTAGGTATGTGTATAATGACCTTGTGCAGCCTCCTCCTTTTTACGGAGATAAGAAATAATGAACAACAAAAGCTTCGAAATTATGTTCCCCTTAATGAAGAAAATTGCGCAACGGGGATGTCATATAGATATATATATCTACATGTGAAAAAAATTGCGATTTTTATCTCGTTTTATACCTCAAAAAAGGGTTAAGAGGTAAACTATTTTTTTTTTTTTTTTTCCCCTTTTGGGCAGCCTACTTCGCAAGGAATGTGATTCCTTCCAGCTGTTTAGGCGAAAGTATGTTGGATTCGTAGAGCGGTAACTGTTGTTCGTTCATACGTTTATCTACTAACCCACTTGTTCGCATAAAGGTGTTGTATTTTTTCCCATTCACTGTTGATGCCTGGCTGGTTCAACACAACTGGGGAATAATATCATACTAGGCCAGCGGAGGCCTCGCATAAGAATCGTTCACACCGTGGTGAAAATTCTACCTGCATCCCTGCGTACATACATTTAATATAGCATATATATATCATGTATATATTTTGTGCGAGCATGTATGGGACAACGGACTGTGCATGTATATATAAACTCCAGCGCACAGTGCGCAACAACAGCCCCCAACATTTTATAAAAAGTGACCATGTGACTTTGCTCTAATTAAGTAAAATTTAAAATTGCGATAATTGTAAGTGCTTCTACACGGCTGTAGAAGATACATGTATACCTTATTTTAACGCTGTTTTTTTTTTTTTTTTTTTGCACTTTATGAATGAAGCACAAATATTGACAGTGCGGGATAGGCCCACCTGGGGAGCAACACGTAGCGTTTCCAATAGGGGACAATACCCTCATCGTTCGGTATGTTCACACTACATTTTCTTTATTTTTATTTATACACTCTCACTTGGTTAATTGAACAAATGCGTAAAGTATGCGCAGGTTAGCTGATTCTCACAAAAGTCGCCTTATTCTTTTGGGAGTTCCGAAAAGATGGCAACAAATTGCACAAAAGGGGGCAAACCACTTGACAAAGTCGAGCGGTGAAACTGCCCACCACGTGATACAAGACACACAAAGGTAAAAAAAAAAAAACAAAAGGGGGCAAGCTCATGAAAGAATTAATCAGTCGGACAAACACACAACGTGTGTCTCTAGGATGATAAAGAGGAGAAAGCGCAATTCAACATGGAATGTGTGGATAATTACCAAACGTAATTTAAGTGAACAAATGTACAAACATAGCTAGCTGGAAAAAAAAAAAAAAAAAAAAAAAAAA